GACAGACCTGACGGTCTATGAGAAGGCTTTGAGGATCAGGCAGACATCGCTGGCGGCAGTACACATGCAATTATTGAGGACAGGGTCGCTAGAGCCAACCCACATCAGCTACCGCTTGATCAGTTGGTGGCGGGCACTTCAGAGGTGGAGTTCTACCGTGAGGTGCAGAACGATGTGGGATGGCGAGGACCTGCTTTGCTTCTGCGATGGGACTCCGAAAAAGGCACGGCGGTGATCCAGTACCAAGGTAGGCCCTATTTGGTGGCGCTCCGCCACGTCAGGTTATACAAAGGTATCTACCTGGTGGAGATTCCGAACGCAGAGACGGAAGATTCGTTGGGACGAGCGATGAAGCACGTGGAGGACATGGTTCCCTACAAGACCAACGTCATCGGATGGATATGCAAGAAGAATGGCACGTGGATCACGTCGCCAGTGGACACGCAGAAGGTTCGCGAGCTGTGGGCGAACCTGAAGGCCATATCGGCGGCTATGACAACAAGACAGCTGGCAGGAGCTGTTCTGGGACACTCACTACGAGCGTTCCGGCCACCAAGGATGACAACAGGCACGCTGATTACACGGGTCAGAGGAGGCCGACAGTATGCGGTGCAGATGCACCCCAAGGAGTGGGCATTTGATCGACGACCTATGCACCATCTATCTCTACTACTACACAATGACGGCTCAGGAAGAAGAGCAGAGTTTCAAGAAGCCGTTACTACCTTCCGCACAACCAGCGCAGGAGGTAACGGACATGGACATCGAGGAGAAGCTGGAGGATCACAAGAGGACCAAGGACAGTGGTCATGGCGCCGGAGAAGAAGAAGCAGAGAGTGAGCTTCCAGGAGGTCAGTCCACAGGAGGGAGAGTACCTCATACAGTACTATCAGGCGGAAAAGATGAAGCACATCTTCTACGGCGACTTCCCAGACGGATGGAAGATCGAGAGCAGGATGCACACCGTCTGGAGCTGAGGCAGGTGCACTATGAACAGATGAGGAAGAGCTTACCACCGCTGTTCACCATGCACTACAAGTACGATGCATCAGTCATGGCAGATCTACGAGAAGCCGAGATCTTCCGTGTTGACGTGGAAGCCGATGCTCTTGAGGAGTATGAGATGATTGAGATATGGCCACAGGTGGAAGAAGCTGACAGAGCAGAGATTCAGCAATTCACGGACGAGAAGGCTTTCAAGAAGATATGCCATCAGAGATGATCCTGATCGACGCACGGTGGGTCAGGAAATGGAAGAGACTCCCGGACAAGAAACGCAAGGTCAAATCACGGCTTTGCGCGAGAGGATTCATGGACAGTCAGAAGTCATTGCTAGCCACTCGGTCAACGACGGCGACCAGGCTGTCGCAGAGAATGCTAGTGTCCAATGCAGCCAGAGGAGGATACACTCTGGAGAGCTGGGACATTGCCGGAGCTTCCTGAAGGGTTTCAGCTTCGACAAGGTGAAGGAGTTGCTCAAGAAGAAAGGAATCAACACCCCGGACCGGAAGGTGGTGATCATTCCACCTGCCAATGTGTGGAGGCACTTGATGGAGATTGACCCAGAGAACTTCTGGATCCCGGAATCCAAGGTCGAGGGTTACGGGTTGCTGTGCGAGAAGCCGGTGTACGGGTTGAACGACGCACCGCTGGCATGGCAACTTTGCCTTCACGAGTTTGCCAAGGAGCAGAACGGCATTGCGAGCAGTCTGGATGAGAACATGATCATCTGGAAGGGTGACAAGCAAGATTGGAGAACGGGCAGACAGTGACACCTATGGCCACCACGCATGTGGATGACATCGCACTATCTGCCGACGAGTCATGGCTGAACAACCTGTATGTTCTGTTCGTGAAGCGTTTCAAGAAGGTGACCAGGAACCGCCTACCATTCGAACACTGCGGATGTGAATACGGATCCACAGTGGACGGTTTTTCCATTACTCAGCGAGAATTCTGCAAGAAGATACCTCTAGCACCAGTACCAGCGAGAGCACCCGAAAGCAAGCTGCTACCGAAGGGAGATCACGGACCTAAAATCAGCACTCGGAGCTCTACAATGGCTGACAGCGACCAGACTGGACATCATTTCAGATGTCTCAGCTCTACAGTCAGTGGCGAAGACAGGAGAGGTGAAACACGTGCAGCAGGTCAACAAGGTCATCAAGCAGGCACAGAGTGTCAACAACCAGAACCTGGGTTTGCACTACAGGAGATTCCACAGCAAGCATCAACGCATAGTGGCAATACACGATGCCTCATCGGCAACGAAGGGACGATGCTATGCACAAGAAGGAATCCTGGTTTTGCTTATGGACGACATTTGGCACGGCCGAGAGATACCACCACATCAGATCTGCGAGGAGGAAGAGACAGTTCGTCATGGTGGAGTCGGACACGTACTATATGCTCATGGTTGCAAGGCCAAACGCATTTCGTATAGCACGAGCCACTCAGAAACGCTCAGTGCAGTGAGCGCTATGGAAATAGCGACCTTGGTGCGACTTCGGATGAGTGAAGTGGACTATCCGAAGGTGATGCCGAGTATCAAGCAGCTCATCGGAGTACAGGAAGCAGGCGACATGAACATGCCGCTGGACATGTACACAGACTGCAAGGACTACTTCTCATTGGTTACAGGGACATCATTGCCCCAAGATCGAACGCAGCGGTTGTATGTGCTCGCAGTTTGGGAATCGAGGATCGCTGGAAGAATCAGGCTCACGTGCCTAGTACCCAAGGAGTATATGACGGCAGACGCGCTGACAAAGCCAATGGTCAGCCCAGTGATGATGAAGATGCTATCCACCGGACTGGTGGAGTTCCACAACGCCGATCACAACATGGAGGTGAAGTACCTTCCAGCCATCAAGGAATACACCGAGGAAGACATCATTGCAGGCGACCAGTCGATCATCGACAAGATCGCTTTCGGAGGGCTTGTCTTGCTTCAGGGAGGCAAGCTAGCACTATGCTTCGCAGCTATGGCCACCATGCCAATGGTGAGTGCAGGAAAGATAGGTGAAGACGTCCACGTCACCGTCAGTGCGGATGAGGATGACTTCTACACCAACTACTTCATCTATGGCATCATTGCCATCTCAATGGCTGCGGCGCTGTTGGTGGAGAGGACCATTTTCCAACTGATGCGCTGGCATTCCGATCACAGGGACGCCATCAACCAGTCAAAGCTAAGCTCGTTGCAAGGCGAGCTCGCAAATGCCATCAAGAAGATCAAGGAGGAGAAGGAGGCTCGAGAAGAAGCAGAACATGAATGTACTCTACTGAGGAGGACCCTTGAACGAGTCCAAGGAGAGCTGACGCGAGAGGTCAGGAGCACCTCAGACGCCAGAAGCGCCTCAACACGTCCAGGTGACTACCTCTGGACGCTGCTTTCATCAAGCAGGGTGCAGACACCTCAGAAATCGCACTTCGCTCACGCACAGACGATGCGAAGATTGCGGAGGCTAACTCTGGGCAAGAAGTGACCGGAGTGAAGTTTCACATACGACATGAACCCATGTCACCGCAGGCCTTGAGCTCATATAGAAAAGCGAGTGTTTAGAACATCACGACCAGATATCGCTGACGAGTTGGTCCGGGATGTGATCCTGTGTCATCTTGACCCGTGCCTGCGCTTTCTGCGGACGGAGCCTACCAAGATCACCGCAGAAGGCCCTCTGAGAGTAGCTTCTGGACGTGCGTGGCAGCCCTCAACATCAGGAGAATATGTAATCGGTTGACAACTCCGAAAACAACATTTCAGCGACATGGCCGGCCCGCACAGATCGACGTGGCTGTGATGCATGATTAGGCAAGAGCACCCAGAGCCAAGGTGTAACGGGTGCCTGGGACACTCGTCGCTCAGGGCCGTTTCCAGAGATATTTAGCTGGCTTCTGAGCTACTCAATAAAGAAGCGATGCCTTGAATGACCTTGTTTGAGCTTCTAGCAGCAGAGGAGTATACATATATAAATATATATACATAAGTATACGTGGTACCCCTCAGATGTTCGTTCAAATACTGAAATGCACTTTGCAAATGATGCCTAAAAAATGCGCTGGATGTGCTGTAGCATACCCTGGATTGGAGATCGAAGATGATCTGACAACTCTTGCTGAGATTCCTGAGTTCTATATGTAGATGTGCTGGCGCGTGCTCGCACATCCTGGACCGAAGGCTGAACATTCTCTCGCAACTTTTTCTGGGGTTCTTCAATCCAGGATGTGCAAGCGCGTGCTGGCACATATCAGTATGACCGATGTCTGGATTTGAAGACTTCCTAGAAAAGCGTTCTGAGAATCTTCAATCTTCAATCTTCCGTCCAGGATGTGCTAGCGCATCCTGGATTGCCCTAAGTACAGAATTGGCGAATCCCAGAAAGTGTTGTCAATCCTCAATGCCGCTCCAAAGGTCGAATTGTGGATGTGCACCGCCTGCATTTTGCCAGGGAAAAGCATGTGTTTTGGAGGGCCAGGATGAAGATTCTCAAGGCAAAATCTGGAGATCTTCCAGGGAAAACCTGCCCAGAATGCCAAGCTTCTTGGAGGCCAGGATTGAGGATGTCCCAACACGATATCTGTGGAATCTTGAATAGTTAGCCTTCGACCCAGGGCAAAATGATCTGACCGAATGCTGAAAATACCGCGCTTTATGTTTTTTATGCCAATAATACGATCTATGTTTCTGTTCTTGGTTTGGCTTAGTTCTTGCTTGGTTAAAGCCACGTGGAGTTAGATAAGGACAATAACCCTTCTGAAATTAATCTTTTTCTTCCCCCGTGCTGGACAAACACCTGAATATTTCAAGGGAGGGCACAGCATATATATATATGCATGAAAGATACTGGGCGTGCTTAGGCCAGTGACATCAAAATGACACATGTTTAAATGTGTATATGTGTGTATGAAGGCACTATTTGCGGGGGTGGTGGCGCTGAGGACTTGGTTGCCATTCGAATCATGCAACACGCTCCCGAAGCCCTCCGCTCCTCTCTGAG